ATCCAATCTGCTCTTCATGGGCATTTACAATGAGTTCATGTCTTTGCTACTGTGAATAGTGCTGTGATTAACATACACATGCATGTGTCTTTATGACAGCACTATTTATATTCCTTTGGGTATATACTCAGTAATAGGATTGCTGGGTTGACTGGTAGTTCTGTTTTAAGTTCTTTGGGAAATCACCAAACTGCTTCACTTTGCATGTGAAAGTCCCTAACGCAGTGGCTAGTACATAAATAGGAGACTCTCAATAATTGTGGACTTAATGCCTTCAAGTGCAGCCAAGATCACATCTCAGAAGATGAAGAGAACGGAAACAAGTATCAGTTTGATTATTCTACATTACAGGCTGAAGAACCAGAAACAGGAAATGACTTTGTGTGCCCTGTTAAAAAAGCCACTAAATCACTGGATTGGAACCCAGACTTTTTTTTTGTTTTTTTTTTAAGTCTGGTGGTTGCTGTATTGAAAAGACTAGAAAAGTGAAATCTTTATGATCGGGCAATTGGATGGACAGTGAATGTCCCAAAGTCTCACATACAGTTCAAAACAGTCCAGGACTGTTTAGAATAGAATCTGTTATTTTGGTGACATGGCTCAGAAGGAATGACGGTGAGAAACAAAATGCTAGAACTGTGGTCTACACTGGATTCATCTTTATTTAGGATACAACTTCATGTGATATTAATGGAAAGATCCACTACCCATCTTCTTCCTCTCCCACAGGGGAGATTTTTGAGGACTCATCTTAAGTGTCTATGGAGAATGGTCTTAGGACAGCATTCACTGAATTGAATCTAAATGTATTGCAAATGGAAGCTGCTGACCAGATAACCAGGTTTAGCTCAAAGTGGAGAGAAGTAGTGATTTGATTATCCATCTGTGGTGGGAACCTCTAGGGTGGCTCCCAGGATTTTCACCCTTTAGTATCCATGCCTTTGTGTCGTTTTCTCCTTGGAATGTAGGCAGGACCTATGACCGTCTAACCTATAGAATATGGCAAAGAAGATGGGATGTTACTCCCATGGTTATGTTTCATGGCAAAGGTAAAGAGATTTTGCAGATATAATTGAGATTCTCATAATCAAAATGGATATTATCTTGGACAAACCTGATAGTCAGGTACGCCTAATTTTTTCTTTTTCTTCTTTTTTTTTTTTTGTGACAGAGTCTTGCTCTGCTGCCCAGGCTGGAGTGCAGTTGCACAATTTTGGCTCACTGCAACCCCCACCTCCAGCATTCAAGCTATTTTCCTGCCTCAGCCTTCCAAGAAGCTGGGATTACAGGTGCACGCCACCATGCCCAGCTAATGTTTGTATTTTTAGCAGAGACAGGGTTTCACCATATTGGCCAGGCTGATCTCAAACTCCTGACCTCAGGTGATCCACCCTATTTTATTCTACTTTATTTATCTTGGAGACAGGGTGTCACTCTGTTCCCAAGGCTGGAGTGCAGTGACACAATCACGGCTCATTGCAGCCTTGACTTCCTGGGCTCAAGTGATCCTCCTGCCTCAGCCTCCTAAAACTCTGGGATTACAGGCATGAGCCACCACATCTGGCTTAGGTGCACCTTTAAAGGAAGACCTGGCCAGGCATGGTGGCTCATATCTTTAATCCCAGCACCTTTGGAGGTAGAGGCAGGTGGGTGGATTGCTTGAGCCTAGGAGTTTGCATCCAGCCTGGGCAACAAGACAAAACCCCATCTCTACAAAAAATATAAAAATCATCTGGGTTTGGTGGCGCACATCTGTGGTCCCAGCTATTCAGGAGGCTGAGGCAGGAGGATCACTTGAGCCCAGGAAGTCAAGGCTGCAATGAGCTGTGATTGTGTCACTGCACTCCAGCCTTGGGAACAGAGTGACACCCTGCCTCCAAGATAAATAAAGTAGAATAAAATAGGTCCTAGAACTACCCCAAAGTGAGAATCTCCAAGCAGCAGAATATTCTCTTTGTCTCTCCCTCCTCCTCTCTCTCTCTCTCTCTCTCTCTCTCTCTCTCTCTCTCTCTCTCTCTCTCTCTCTTGCTCTCTTCTCAGTTTCTGGCTTTGAAGGAGCAAATTGCCATGAATTTTGCAGTCACAAAAAAATGATTTTTGCTAAAAACTCAATGGAGCTTGAAAGCAGATTCTTTCCCAGCCAAGTCTTCAGATAAAAGCAGAGCTTAATGACACCTTGATTGAAGCCTTGAGGTATCTGGAGCACACGACCTAGTTAAGTTGCACCCAGATTCCTGACCCCGGGAAATGGTGAGAAAAATGGGTGTTGATTTAAGCTGCTAAATTTGTGGTTATCTATTGTGCAACAAAAGATTATGAATATACCACCCATCCCCACTACTCCTTCACAAACACTCTTTCCTAAGGAAACAGAGGCTTTGAAATCCACCTTTGCACGCTACATATTAAAAGACATTAACCGATAATCAAGTTCAGCAGCTAAAACCGGGCTGATACATAGATTGATAAAGAATAAAAAGATTTGTCTTTGCTGTGTTAATGACAAGATAAAATGTGTAAATCCTACCTCTTCTTCTAAATATTAATACAGAGCATTTATTAGGCTTCTCGACCAAGAACTAAGGAGAGTGTTACAGTTTTGAGTACCTTGATTATTAAGGCTACATTTATAGTATGTCTGTTGATGGAAACCAAAATCCATTCAACACCATGAATATAGGTGGAATTCTTTCACATACAACATGAAGGGCTAACCAAGCCTCTCGTTACCCACATAAACATCTAATATTTTCTGCATTTTACTCCTGATAAAATCTCTTATAGAACTTAAGGTGACCTTTTAAATATGGAGTCTATGTTTTATCTTTATATTCCATCTTATGCTTAAATACAACTGGAGACTATCAAAGCTGCAGTCTCTAAGGCATTTCTCTCCATTGGTGAAGCCTCAATAGATATTGCACAAAATAGTATTAAATACACACAAAAGCCATGTGCAGTGCTCTTGGGGTGGATAGCTGGTTCTATTGATGCCCGCTTGCATTTGACACTCTATTTTCTATATTTCAAGAGGTTTTCTCCGATGCTATCACTAGGTTTTTAATATATTTGACTTTGAGGGAAAGGCAGATGTTTCCAGAAATGAGTTTAATGGGGAAATAAATTCAGAGTGTACTATTGTGTTCTGAAACTGCCCTGGGAGACTCACTGCATCAGAGATAGTCTCCTGTCAATGAACTAGGGCTACATATTTGAGTTCTCTGTAAAGACACATTTTAGCAGGTTCTTCCACGGGCCAACAAACCCAAAGTATTTCAAAGGAGATCCCTGAATTGAGCTTCAGTTTAGATCCAGAAGGCAGCACTGCTACTCACTTGTCCCCTACGCTATGATGACTGACTTTTCCACAGTCATTCTAGAACCCAAACTGATATGTAATATCATGGGCTATTATGAAATGATCAGAAGAAAATTTTTATTTCCAGCAGATGGGCTGCAATCAATGATAATCCTCTATGATGAACTTCAATACAGTGACGGTCATAGTGGTGTTGTAAAACCAGGGAAATAATGTGCTGGGATTTCCCTGCAGTTGCTGGGAAAAAACAAACAATTTCTTCTATTTCATTTGTATAAAATTTTAAAGTGAGAAATATTGAACCAAATAGTAAACCTAAATACAGAAGTAGTGTATTTGCTATACTTATATGGCCAGACATACAACTTACTATCATAAATTGGAATTAATGGTAAATTTTGAATGTAAACCATCTATACAAGTAAAAAAGATTTATAGTCAAAAGACTTATTACTATACATATGGCATCAAGACTCTTACTATGCATTTGATATGTGTTCATCTAAAGTGAGGGTTGCTAGGTTAGGTATGGTGGCTGACACCTGTAATCCCAGCACTCTGGGAGGCGAAGCCAGGAGGATTGCTTCAGGACAGGAGTAATCAGCCTGAGCAACATAGTGAGACCTCCATCTCTACGGAAAATAGAAAAAAGTAGCTAGGTGTCATGGTGCATACCTGTGGTCCCAGCTGCTTGGGAGGCAGATGTAGGAGGATCATTTGAGCCCAGGAGTTGAAGGCTGCAGTGGGCCATGATTGCACCACTGTACTCCAGTGACTGACAGAGAGAGACCATGTCTAGTAAAAAAAAAGAAAAAAGAAAAAAAAAAACAAATAATAAAGTGAGGAATTGCTAACTATGCTTATGTTCAAAACCATACTTGGCCGGGTGTGGTGGCTCATGCCTCTAATCCCAGTACTTTGGGATGCCAAATCAGGCAGATCGCTTTAGGTCAGGAGTTTGTGACCAGCCTGGCCAACATGGTGAAACTGCATCTCTACTAAAAATACAAAACAATTATCCGAGCATGGTGATGGTCACTTGTAATCCCAGCTACTCAGGAGGCTGAGACAAGAGAATTGCTTGCACCTAGGAGGTGGAGGTTGCAGTGAGCAGAGATCATACCATTGTACTCCAGCCTGAGTGATAGAGTGAAACTCAACAAACAAACAAACAAAAAACCATACTTACAGAGCATAAAGCTGTTGTGTAACCTTAAAACACAGCTCAGTAAAATGATTCTGTGGCCAGACCTCAACATTTACTGGTGCTTTTATATTACAAAGTCTTTTAAAGTTTTGGTTAAGTTATAATTATATATATTTATTGAGTATAATGTGATGTTTTGATATATGTACATAATATGGAATAATTAAAGCAAGTGTGTTAACCTATCCATCACCACAAATACTTATTTTTTTTGTGTGGTGAGACCATATGACATTTACTCTCTTAGCATTTTGAAATATACAACACATTATTGTTAACTATAGTCACCCTGCTATGCAACAGATCTCATACACTTATCTGCACAAAGCTGTTTCAAGTGGCACATTTTATCCTGAAAGGCTGGCATTCACAAATCCGCACTCTGTGAATGGTTCAGGAATTCATCACCTCAGAAGTGTGTCTCCCTACAAGGCATACTAGGAAAAGGATGTTCTAAAGAGAAACAAGGCGGATCCTGCCCCGCCGGGCGGAGGACAGCTCAAGCTAAGGGTGATCAGCCCATGACCTAGACCTCTAGACAAAATAAAGCAGGGAAAATTTGCTAGAATCAAGAATGATGGATCCATGCTCAGTTGGAGTCCAGCTTCATACTACAAATGAGTGCCATAAAACATGCTATACTCATCACACAGGTTTTAAGACTTTGCAAGAATTGTCATCAAATGATATGCTTTTACTTCAACTTAGAACTGGAATGACACTTTCTGGGAACAATACTATTTGCTTTCATCATGTAAAAATTTACATTGACAGATTTGAGGATTTACAGTAGTCATGTTGTGACCCATTTAACAAACAAACAAACAAAAACTAGTAAAAAAGAATTTGCATGTAATTGACTTAGATGATGCCACTTTTCTGAGTGCAAAATTCGGAAGACAGCTTGTACCTGGTTGGAAGCTTTGTCCAAAATGCAAATAGACAATCAACGGAAGTGTAGATGTTGATACTGAAGACTGCCAGAGAAGGAAACCTGAGTCAGATGGAAGAACTGCGAAAGCTTTGTGGTCGTTACAATTTACAAATCCAGGAAGGCAAACTGAATTTGCTCCAGAAACTGGTAAAAGAGAAAGAAGGCTTACAAAAAATGCAAGTGCTAGTTCAGACAGACAGGTGATACCATTGAAGAGTAAGGTCTATGATAGCCAGGGGCTCCTCATTTTTAGTGGGATGGACCTCTGTGACTGCCTTGATGAAGATTGCTTAGGATGTTTCTATGCTTGTTCTGCCTGTGGTTCTACCAAATGTGGAGCTGAATGCTGCTGTGACCGCAAGTGGCTGTATGAGCAAATTGAAATTGAAGGAGGAGAAATAATTCATAATAAACATGCTGGATAATCTGTGGTATCAAACTATGGGGTCTTTGAAGGCCTTTATTTCTAAAATTCTATTACTCTTAGATACATTTTAAGCTTGATTGTCAAATGACAGAGATTTGAAACCACCTCAATGGTTCCCATGGGCACAAATTTCAATGACCTAGATTTAAACACCACCAGTTTTCTTACCAGGAAGGAAAGGAAACTGGTGGTGTTTAAACTAAGTTAAAATTTTAGTTAGCACAGTATAACTATGAGTAATTACATGAGGTACAAACTTCTCTGCTAGTTCTTCAGTCTACAGATCACTATGTAAATAACACATATGCTTCATGATCAATGACCAGTCATGTTACTTCTTTCAAATTCTTCCAGTGCTTGGTCCCTGTGCATCTGTTACTCACTTCACTCACAGTAGAGCACGTAGTTATGCTGTCTCTTTGTCATCCACTTGAAATTTTATAGAAGGGGATGATCAGCCAACAAAGATCAAAGTGCAGAAAAGCAATGAAAAATGGTAACACTGGAAGTGAAATTTGAATCAAACATAAATGGATTTGTAGAAGCCACTGATCATGAGAATGTCGTTCTTGCTACTATGCATTCATAGGAGCTTAGTGAAAGCAAACTTATCAATACATGTAAGAAAAGTGGTTGCAATAAAGATAAACGTGTCCCGGCGCAGTGGCTCACACCTATAATCCATGAGCCAAGGATTACAGGTGGGCCACATAATTGGGAGGCTGAGGTGGGCAAATCACAAGGTCAGGAGTTGGAGACCAGCCTGGCCAACATGGTGAAACTCCATCTATACTAAAAGTACAAAAAATTAGCTTGGCATAGTGGCAAATGCCTGTAATCCTAGCTACTTGGGAGGCTGAGGCAGGAGATTCGCTTGAACCTAGGAGGCTGAGGTTGCAGTGAGTCAAGATTGCGTCACTGCACTCCAGCCTGGACAACAGGAAAAAAAATATGTCCCAGAGGAAGGGAAAAATGCATTAAAGAACATTTAATGTAAATACAGAAATATTTCAAAAGCACAAGCAATAAAAGGGGGGAAGCTGATCCAAACTTAAAAAAGGTGGTATGACAGTTTGCCATGAATAGACAAGATGCTTCCTCAGTACCATAAGTTACTTGGCAGAAGAAAAGGCAAGCCCTATTCAAACTACTTAGTTTCTACAATGAAATAAAACAGTTTAATTCTATTTCTAATGTTTTAAATTACAGTGTACTACATAAATAGTTTTAAACTTTTTGCATTTTTTGCTACATTTACAAGTGACCTTAAGAGTTTTTAATATTTTAGCAGAATGTTAAAGGTCATGGAACAGCCATTTTCCCCATTGATATTAAGATTGTTTTGCATGGCCATTTTCATGGTCCCACAATAGCATGAAAAATGAGGACTGCTTGTACCTGGGAACAATGCCTGCTTCGGGGAAAACCGATTTGACAGAACTGACTAGTTGAGTGTTAAACTATTTTGGAAATAATCTACATATCTAAGTGCTGAAATATATTTCTCTTCTCCCCACTTATTCAAATAAAAACATGTTAATAATATAAACCTTTCATTGCTTGCACCTCATGCTCCTTGTCAAAATGGTTCTGGGGGACAATAAAAATCTATAAAGCATGAATATACACACTGTACATAAACAGATATTAAAATTTGGGAGGTGCTTGATTAGGATTATAAAAAGACTCCTTAGGGAGTGATGATGAAAAAGATACACACTGGTTAATATAGAGTATAAATAAATTATTTGGAAATTGATTGCATCTTGATGGAATTTGCTTGGATGCTGTTTGGAAGATGGGGAAATGGTATCATCTCTTTGCACTTTTTTAAAGACAGCTGTCATTTTGTCTAAAAGCTTTTTGTCACATAGGACATTGCCACTGAACTAGGTTTTGGGGGTTTTTTCCACCCTAAATACAGTCCTTCAGTTTAATCAGTTGTGCTCTTAGCCATTTGAAAGATTTTATAGCCATTAAAACTCAATTTATACAGCCTGCTTGAATTGACCATTAGAGGGTTTTTGTTTGTTTGTTTGTTTTTAGATTTTTAAAATGACTGCTTTTAGTTTGAGGGAATAGCATATTCATCTTTGGAATTATATATCACTTTTAAGTTTTGATTGTGCATTCACCTGTTCACTCACCTGTTATCAGAAGTACAGTTAGCTTCCTTGATCTGTGTGATTTGCCTGAGCACTGGCAAAAATACTATTTCAGCTTTATTCACTTAAGTCAGATGCCAGATTTCTTTTCTCTAAGGCAATATTTTGTTATTGAGAATATAAACACTGCAGTTTTATCCGAACATCAGCATCATTAGACGTTCATTGTTTCTACCATCTTTTAGTTTTTCTAAGTATGACATTGCTTAGGCTTTTCATAGGGACAAATTAAACTCTTAGGTTTTTTACTTAAAATAGGAATATTTGTTATGGAATAAGTGACTTTAAAATTGCCATATTGCAGCATTTCTTAGACCTGTTATTTTTCAAAGACATAGTAATAAGTTTTCCAAAGGAAAATATTCTTGAACAATTTTGCCAATATTTGCTCATACCGATTTAGGGAAACAAACTTTTAATGAGCATACAAAATGTGTACAGAGAAAGATGTATCCAATTTACAGTAAAGCTGTAACAAAGCTGTGTTTTGGAAAAATTAAAAAAAAAAAGAGAAACAAAGGGCATGTTCAAATTAGGATTATCCATGAAAGGATTGTGTTGCTTTAATTTATTAATTAGAAATGTGTGTAAGGAGGTCATAAACCATGGAAAAAGTCTCAGTGAGGGTCAGGCTCCTGATATCTGGAAGGAAAGCAATTTGCCTCTAGCAGCCACCTTCAAGAAGACACCAGGTGTCTTCTCTGCTGAGGTCATCCCAGTCCTAGACATCCTCACAGGGAGCATGCTTGGGGAAAAGGCACCTATCTTTATTCTCCATGCTTCTTTGGATTTCCCATCAGTGATACTGTCCCCATAAGTTTTACAAAAATAATCAAAGAAAAAGGGAGAGGTAGAAACAAAAATAAAGTAAGCTTGCAGCATATTCAGCATTAATCTCTAGGTTAGTTTGCTCTCTGATCTGCTTCTTCACAGTGGTTTGATATCTATTGTCTGAGTCTAGATTATAGCTCCCGGTTAACTGCTCTATATATAACAACTTAGGCATTGTGAAAAGTTAAGTTTTCCCTTTGAGATACTCTTTCAGGTCCTGCATACCAAAAAAAAACCCGACTGTTGCCAGCAGGTCTAAAGGAACCCACAAATAGCTGACTCACCAAAGAATGAAGTTGCCACATCCTGATTATTTCATCCCCCTTACCCTGACCAATCAATGATCCCAATGTTCCAGCTCCTTGCCCTCTACAATCCCCTTAAAGGTTTCAACCAAGATCTCCTTGGGGATATGAATTTGAAGGTCCCCTCCTATCTTTACACTCAGCACCCTGTGATTATTAAACTCTTTCCCTGCTGCAAACCCTGCTGCTTTGGTGTATTGGTATGTTAATGTGCAATGGGTATATAAAACTGCTGTTCCTATAATGACAGGGCTTGTCATTGCCTAAGCCATGATGAAGTCAGAGACATGGGATCCACTGACATAGCCCACATTGGTCATCCTCCCAGGGAACAGAGCAAGAAGAAAGAAGAAGGTCAATGGAAGCTCTAGAGAAGCAGGAGAATGATTGAGGATCATAAGGACACCTTTACACCTGCATTAGAGAACAATCACATGGCAATGTATAGTCCCTCAAGAGCTGCCAGATTATTCCTCACCATCAATGGAGTTCACAGTACTAGAATTCATGGTTGTAACATAACCATCATGATCAGCACTGGATAGTGCCTATCACTAATACCCACTAACACCAGGCACTGTGCAAATCATTCCTCATGAACCATCTCATTCTGATCCTTCAAACAAGTCAACGAGAGAGGTATTATTCCATCTGCCACGTTTCAGAGATGAGAACAAAGAATCCTAGAGAACAGTTCAAGAAACTTACAACATTGCAAGGACAGCAAAGGAAGGATCTCATATGGAAGTTTAGACAGTCTGAGTCCAAAACCAGAACGTGTATTGCTATTTGGAATAGTAAGCAGGCATTCACATTACTGGGAGTGCAGTGGGAGTGAGGGGAGGTCAGGATGCAGAGTGAAAGACTAGCATGAGAACTATATATAACCACTTGAAGAAGATTAACCTAGGCTCTTTTCTAGCTCATGATCATAGCCATTGCTCAACTTTGCTAGTAGACAAGTGAAGGGGAGAGGCCACTGTATGCAGCCTCCAGCTGGGTCTCTCTCCTCCTGTGGTGAGAGTATTAGAGCAAGCAACATAGGGTGTTATTGTTTCCTCTCTACTGCTGGGCACACAACTTCAGCCAAGATGTAGCCTAGTGCATTTGTGAGGCACCCTACCACAGTATCTCACAGACCCTGACCAAAGAGGACATGCTGCCTCCTCTAGCACTAAATTAAGTTATTCTCTATATTCACCCTGATTTTTCAACTCTGGGAGCCTTGTTCTCTGCAGCCAAACAGAACTCCTCTGATATGTTAGTACATCCATCAGATACTTTTTGCTTCTCATGGAGACACTCCCTCTTAAATTCACAAACTATAACATTGACAGAAAGACCACACATCACAGGACTGGATAATAAAAATAAAAAGCAAGAGCAATCACATCATACATTCAAAGATGGTTGGATGCAAGATTAAAAACCACATTCCACTGTTGTTCTATCTCATCACAAAATGTCATTGTGATTTGTTAAACTCTACTCTTGTCCTCTGTACTGCTTTGCCCAAAACAGCTTTGCCTTTCTAGTTCTCCCTTACTAACAGATCAGCTCAAACTTCATCCTGCTATTGTAAATTATACCAATCCAGCACTTTATTTTCCACTAGGCCTTTCTAGAACTGAATATTTTATCAGATTTACTTCCTGGACACTTTCTTGCCCATAAGTTCTTAGCACTCATACTAGGATATTATCCAACATAAATACCCTCACCCCAATTCTGCCTTCCACCTTGCTGTTTCCATGAAACTCCTCACAACAATCTAGGGCCCTTATAG